TGGGTTGGAAAAGTGGGGGGCGTCTTGTACATGGGGGCGTCTTATTGACGGAAAAATACGGTACTTTAATAGGCCTTCTTGATTTACCCTCTGCAGGAGAACATGGCAGGAAAAGGCTTTTCATTCTGGGTGTGGCTGGACAATATAATTGATCTGGTGAAGAAGTACATCTTGGCACTTTGGAATGAAGGGTAAGCGTGTACCAGAAAAATTACAGTTGTTGGCAACATCTCTGTCTCTGTTGCTGTCTCTTTCATGGGTCTTCAGAGGTGAGAAAGTACTAAACCAGCCTTCCCCAATTTGATGCCCTCTGGATATGCTGGGTATCAAATCCTATCACCCTGCAGTCAGCAGGGGAGCTGACATCTAACACATCTGGAGGGCACCAGTTTGGAGAAAATTTTCTAAGCTCTCAGTGGAGCTTCTGGATGGTTTCTGGCATTGTGGATAGAGATGTGATATGATGGTACTATTCAGAATTAGCCAGACCTGATTTGGAGTACTATGTCCAATTCTGGGTGCTGCATTTTAAGAAAGATATAGGCAAATTGGAATGTGTTCAGAAGAGGTCAAGAAAGAAGCATGGAAAATAAGTGCTATGAGGAAAATATAAAACAACTGGGTGTATTTAACCTGGTGAGGAAAGGGCTTGGGTGGGAGATGTGATAGCACTCTTCAGCTACTTGAAGGAATATCACATAGAAGAGAAAATGGATTGTTTCTGCTGTCCCAATTAGCAAACCTAGATAGAACTGACTTGCAGGTGGGTGACAGGTGACATTAGGAGTGACTGACGACTTTTCCTGTGGCAGCCATTTTGTAGAGAAGGCCCATGACATACTCTCACATTTCTAGCAGTTCAAATTTGGGGACCCTGGCATCTAGGATCTTAGTCAACTTTAAAAGCATTCTCACTTTATCCATAAAATAAATAAATATTTTATGACTGGCCACATTGATTACAGCAGTCAGCCATTTTGTGACAGAGTCCTTGAGATGCGTTCAAAATTCCAAATGACAAAAAGTTTGGGGACTCTCCATCCTGCATAATTACATCCAGTTCTATGATTTTGTGACTCTTTATTTTGAAAATAAGTATGCATAAAAATGATATTTCCTCCTCCTCCTCCTCCAGGTATATCATGGGCTTCATCAGCAAAGAGAGGGAAAGAGCCATCCTGAGCACAAAACCACCGGGGACTTTTTTATTGCGTTTCAGCGAAAGCAGTAAGGAAGGTGGAATCACTTTCACATGGGTGGAGAAGGATATTAGTGGTAAGGAATGCAGTCCTGAACACATGTAAAAAAGTACCCTGTACTAGATTGATTATGTGCCATCACATCATTGTTGACTCTTAGCAACCACATAGATTTTCTCTATGATGATCTGCCTCTAAACTGGTCCTTCAGGTCTTCCAATGGTACACCCATCACCACTGAAGCTGAGTCCATCCATCTTGCTGCTGGTCATCCTCCTCTTTCCTTCCACCTTTCCCAGCTTCCCCAGGGAGCAGTGAAATATAAATAAATGTTTAATATCAGTCAGAGGAATTTCAGTTGATATGTCGTTTTAATCTATTAAATGGGAATAAGGCCAGAATATATTTATTTCAAAACCAATAAGTATATTTCCTTTTTCTTTTTTAAATGATACACTTGTGTCCTAGCAAGCATCATCTAAGAAGAGGCATTTCCTGTTATTTGTAAGAGAGAAGGGAAAATGCCTCTTTGAAGAGAGTGCTCAACATCTGTAATTTTATAGGAATTATGAGTCAGTCCTTGTCAGCTTTCTATGTGTTCAAACATAAAATGTGTATTCTGTGTGCAATTTTCTGTAATATATGCATTTTGTATGCAACTGTCCCTAATATATACATTTTATGCCATTTTTGAGTCAGTGCCACAAATGAGTAAGAGTGAAATCCAAAGAATAACTTTGTTCCAATCTGCCTATTACTTCAGGAAGTGCAAACTAGACCGGCTTGCTTAAAAATAAATTCTCCATCATCCTTGTTTTTTTTAATGTTCATATTATTACATCAAATTGAATGGCAGAAAAAGGACACATACAACAGTATTAACAACATAATGTGATCTCAAAATTAATAATCATAATACAAAAGAAAAGGAAAAAAAATAATTCTAAACAGAATACAGAACAATTCTCCAAATGGTATTATATTGCTTGAAAGTTTTCCCCAACTGTTTCTTGGACCCTCCCTACCCCACCTCCCGCTTCAAATCTTCACAAACAGTACATATTGACAATCCTTCACTGAAAATCAATTATACATTTCTTCTTTCACTGTTGTGCAATTGTTCTTTTAGCCATCTTCACTTGCCTGAAAAATCCACAGTTCTTGTCTTAATCAATTCCAAATACTAGGAATATAGCCAAGAATAACACATGCATTTTTAACACTTAACAGTTGATCCACATATTAACAATCTTGTTGATTTCAGTCCAAAATATGGCAATAATAGGACAAGTCCAAACAATATGAGTTAATACTCGTTAAGTCTCCAGCAGCAAGGTAATTACAACACAACATTATTTGAAGAATCCATTATAGACATAGCAATTTTTTTGGTTACTGTATATTAATTTTAAAATCATAGGAAACTAGTTGCACATTATTTAAAGCAACTTTCACTGATTTATCAAGATGACATTCAAATTTATTATTCCTAGGTTTTCTAAATAACTGCCATCAATTTCATCAACTTCCTTCAACTTCTGTCTGTTTAGACTGGACTTTCTAGGGTTCTAAGAAAAGACTGTTCCCATCTCTGCTAAGATCTTTTAAATGGAAGTGGCAAGGATTGAACTAACAAACTTTTGAATATGACAGTATGCTTTACTTCTAAGCCAAGGCATGCTGACATTTTATTTCTTACAGAAGTTATAGAAGTTACTATTCATTGATTTGTAATATTTTAATGGACATCAGAAGAATTCATTTGATTACTAAGCGCATTATCAGTGATAGCCAGTTTCTAACCAGTTTATGAGACTTCTTTTGAGTTTTGTGATATTTTTCAGACGGACTATTTTTTTATTGCTGTGAATTTGGTTCTCCCTCTTTTCTCCCCATCTTTGGCAAGGCATTGTATCTATCCTTTTTAATCCACTTTCTACAGGAAAGACACAAATTCAGTCGGTGGAGCCATACACCAAGCAACAACTCAATAACATGTCATTTGCTGAAATTATCATGGGTTACAAGATCATGGATGCTACCAACATCCTGGTTTCCCCACTTGTTTATTTGTACCCTGATATTCCTAAGGAAGAGGCCTTTGGAAAATACTGCCGCCCTGAGAGCCAGGAACATCCTGAAGCCACTGACCCAGGTAGTCGTTGACTTTCTGTGCTCTTCCTCCCAGACTGCTATAGGGAACTTGCAGTACTAAACCCCTTTTTGAGGCTCTTGGATTCCTCTTCAGCCATAGCTATTGAAAACTGGGGATGTACTTTCCAGTTTCCTGGCATACACAAAAACTGTATGCCATAAATAAAGTCTAAATTAAGCCTAAATACACACAGAGAGAGAGAGAGAGAGAGAGAAAATGCCTCCAAAGTGCTTTCTAAAACCCAAGGGGAAAAAAAATAAAACTTTTGACCCTCCCTATATGTGTCATATGGCCTCACCTACTTTGTATTATCATTCCATCAAGTGGCCTTTGATCTCACCAAAAACATTTAATATGGACCTTGGCTGCCGAAAGTTGCTCACATCTGGCACAAGGCACTGTGGAAATTGAGCCTTTCGGTCCTTAGAGAAGAATTCTTAAGAATTCTAGTTTGTTTGTTTTTTGGTGGGGAGGGATATCTTCATGGGGAGCTATATTGTATCTTTATATACAATCTAACATGCAGTTTGGTTGGAACAAATTCTAATGGAACTTAGTGTGGATTACTTTTGAGTAAGTATATATAGAATAATTCAAGAAAATATGGAGCCTTTAACAAATGAAGCAAGTCACCCCCTAATCACTACAGTAAATCTCCTTCAAGTTGAACTTGACTCCTGATTTCCTCATGGACACATCTATGCCATTTTCTTGGCATAGAACTGGTGTACCATTGTTTCCCAGACTGGACTCCAGCTTTGGGTCCCAGATGGTCTCTCATACAAGTATTAAAGAGACCTGACCTTCCTTAACTTCCAATTCAGATGAATCAGCCGTATATGTTTCCATGCAGTTGCCTAGGAGATTTTTACTCACTACAATTGTTGTTTTTCTTTTCTGCAAAATATTTCATTTAATTTAGGATTTCTCCACAAAATCTTCATGTTATGGGTAAAGGTGGATGCCCTGTCAGACACTTGCACAAACCAGCAAATTTTCCTGCAGGGTCTTTGTCTAAATTATTTTGGTGTTGCTGGTGGCTCTTGTTGGGTAAAACAAAATACTGGGGAAAAATCAAAAGGCAATTTAAAAATAAGTATTTATAACTCTTGTCCATGTTTGTTACATCCAAAGTTTAATTTGCAAATCAAATCAAATATGAAGGCAAAAATGTCTAAATTTAGCATTTCCATTAAACAGAGTTGAAACATGCCTAGGATTGTCAGTTAAGAGGGCACAGTTCCCAGCATCTAAATTCTGCGATAATTCTCTATTTTATTTCTCCTCATCCACCTATTTCCAAATCATTTTATGGAGAGAAACAAAGGAATTGCAGTTTGGATAGAAGACTCCTGGTGCATTTTAAGATACACAAACTAATAGATTTTTTCTCCTGCCCACAACAGGTGCTGCTCCATACCTGAAGACCAAGTTCATCTGTGTAACCCCGTAAGTATGCTTTCTTCACTAAAGATAGGACCCATGGAGTCTACTCAGCAGTTAGATAGTATGTGTTTATAGATAGAGTTCTCCCCAGTTACTTGTGCTTCAATTATCAGTGGTTTTTATTCAGAAGTAGATAATCTATAGATGAAAAGTAGCAAAAGGAAGGGTTGGTGTTAAGTTCAGAACCTCTCCTTCTAGCAACATTCCTTCCTTCTGCTGTACAGATTAGAAATGTAATTGAATTGCACAGAAACTTCTTAATTAAGCTATAATGCAGGTATGGGCAACTTGCCACCATGTGAGGACATTTTTGTAAACCCCTTCCCCTGATTGTGCTGCCAAAATCCAGTGGCACACTGCAAAATTACAGCAATCCATTTTCATCAGTTTAAATAGAATATAACAAAAATGGGTATTTTAAATCCTTTGATAAACATAAACTAAAACTTACAAAAATCACAAGAGGGGGGAAAACATGTGTGGGTGTGGGTGTGGGGGAGGGAGGGAGGGAGGGAAGGAAGGAAGGAAAGAAGGAAAAGTGGTGACTCCAAAGGTTGCCTTCGTGCCCCTGTTGTAATGAATGAAAAGTAGTAAGTCTCCTTTGAGTCCAGTTTGATTCCTGGTGAATTCATAGACACATCCAGAATATAATATGCAAATGGATTGCCACTTTCTTCTTCCAGGATATTTTCCAGCCTCCCAAAGCCCTGATTTTCCTGGAGGTCTCCCACCAAGTACTAAAAAGGCCTAACCCTGCTTATCTTCCAAGCCCAAAAGGCAAGGTGCTGCCATTTGCTGAGATCACATTACAGCATTATTACCATTCTGCCATTGTCTTCTCCAGACTATCACAAATGTATCTAGTATGTGCACAAATGTCTCTGGAATAGCTATATCTGGCCAGATCTTACACAGCTTCTAACTTCTGTACCTCCTTGCTACTCCCTCTTCTTTTCTCCCCGTCTTATCCCACCTTTCCAGAACAACCTGCAGTAGCACTATCGAACTGCCCATGTCTCCCCGCACACTTGAATCCCTGATCCATTTTGGCAGTAATGGTGAAGGAGCTGACGGAAATGCCAGCGGGCAGTTTGGTGAGTGCACGGCCTATGGTGCAGCTGTGTGTGATGGAAGGATAGACGGACCACATTGTTCCTGCTGCTTTTGCAGCTATCCTTGTAGAAGGGTCAGACAGGCTGCTGTGTTCGTTGTCATCCAAACATCATTTAAACCAGAAGGAGGCAGCATAGTATCCTCCAGATATTTGACATTTCAGCTTAAGTACTGCACACTCCTTTATTATGCACTTAGTGGCTATTGTATTTCAATCAGCAAACTAAGATTGTTGACAGATTGTTCCAACCAGCATTACAAACCAGAATTTAATCTCAGTTTAATCTCAAAGGACTGCTTAAACTGTAGTTTGTCCATTCATACAACATGGATAAACAAATCTAAAGTTATAAAACAAAACACTCCCACTTTCCCAGAGGGGAGGGAATACCTAAAAACCACTTGTTTATCATTTCCGAAACCATGGGGAAGATATATAATACTTGAGATGGGCTTAAGTGGAAGTCCCATGGATTGATTAAGCAAAATATTTGGTTTGGGTGACAAAGTGAAATGCCCTGTCAGTGAAGAGTTGGAATTGGCATGAAGGGCAGACCAAAGGTATAGCTACAAAAGGTAGCTATATTACATGAGGAAATGTCAGGAATAGATGTGTTCCAGAGTCTTAAGATTCCATATTCTTGAATGAATGAGCAAGACAGAAGGTAAAATGAAGGTTAGGGGACAGAAACGTCAATGAAAGAATAGCAGCCCATAACCCTCACAAATATTTGAGAGATGAATTCCAAAGAGAGAAATAGGGAAGATAGGAGTGCTGGCAGAACAACTTCCAAGGATAAAAAATGGGGGCAGGTTGGCCAGAATGAAACTAATAAAATACAAAGAGCAGCTTCATTTAACAAGGTGGGGAAACAGCTCTTGAATGCAACATCTGGTGGACCATCTCATCTGGCCTTTAAAAACCAAATCTCCTAAGCATGTATAGAACTGCAGTGTGCAACTGGATTGCATTCCTCTCTTTCTGTATCTCTGGCAGAGTCCTTGCAGGTGTTCGACATGGAGATGACTGCTGAGTGTGCCAATTCACCCATGTGACCACCCTTCTTAAGCAGCTGACCAGTTCTGCTTCCTGGCATCAACATTTACTCCCCTTGCAGCATCATGGAGCTCAGACATCTTGGCTCTGCCTCAACAGGAGACATTTGATTGAGGGTCCTCCTTTAAGTACACCATTGCTGGAGCTTTTTGCCAGATGTCAAGACAGCTGGAGGGAAGAAGTTCTGTTTAATTTTAGCTGTTTATTTCCTTCCCCACTTCAATATTTTTCATTATGTATACTGGTTATTAATGTAAGGAGTGAAGATTTTGTTCTGGTGTTTTACTAGATCAAGTGTTCCTCTTTAACAGTACTTTTTGGTCTCCTGTGCGTTTTTGCTGCATGGCACAAAAAGCTGTTTCTGTAGCGCTACCCTCTTAAGTGCTTTACCCAGTAATAAAGCAGTTGAAATCAACAGGCAGGAATCTGTTCAAGTAGCCACATGTTAGTCCAGGGAGGGAAAAGCATATATGGAGGGACACTTCTTAGAGACAAGTGCACTTTTGTTTCCTTTCCAAAACAATGTATTTTCTGTGCCCTGCTTTTTAACCCTTCTGTGATGATCAACATACCCTAGTAGAGCAGCCCTGCAAGGTAAGGGCTAGAAAAACAGCCAATGGCATGTTTACTTGAGCATCCTGGGCTTTGATGCTCCTACTGAAGATTTTAGAACATTCCAACTTCACAGACTACTAATACTCAAGGTTGCAGTGCAAACCCCAGTGGAAATAGTATTTGAACCCCAATCATTCAGCTGAAAAGTCAGTTCTCCCTCCGCTTCCTTTCACCCAAAGCTTTTGATCATGGGAGGACTTTCTACTGTCTACAGATTAAGGCATTGGATTGAGATAATGGAACAAAGGTGAACTGAGAGTTCAGTGTTAGCATCCCACCACAGATGTGTGGTCAGCATTTAGCTCTAGTTACTTCTATTATTATTTATTGCACTTTTATCTACCCTGCCTTGAAAGCACCTAGGACAGCATTCACCCTTTCTTTTTCTTTAGTTTGCCCTTATAGCAAAGTTATGGGGTGAATTCTGCTGGTGAACAATGACTGTCCCATGGGCACCCAAGCTTCATGGCTGAGTGGGAATTTAAATCTGGTCTATCTAGCCACTGTGCCCTATTTCAAATTCTATGTTAGGAACAAACAGTAAATGTTTAAAATAGTTAAAAGAGATGACTGTCAGTATTTTTTCTCCCCATCCATAGGCTATATTGTTTAAACTATCCCTTTAAAAAAAACAATATTGTTAGTGATAACCATTTGCTGCCCATTCTTTCTGTCAGCATCATTGGTCTTCCCCTTGTGGCCCCCTTCTCATGTGGCATTTTAATTTAGCCCAGCTGGAGCCAGTGCTACTCAGTTGCTGCTTGGCTATTATAGTCTCTCCATTGTAGGAATTGGAGGCTTCTAATGCTGAAGATCCCACTCTAATCTCAGCTGTTGAGTTCAGTGGAGTTGAAAAGTGATGATACAAAAGGATGATGAAACAAGTTTGCTTCCAGTAATTAGAACAGCCACTAAAGCTGATGCTTTCCAGATGTGCTGGACTTCAACTTTCTTCATCCATTAAGGGGGTGTAGTTCAACTGATCCAGAGGACATTAACTTAAGGAAGACTGATTCAGAAGCATTGGTTGGCAACATTCATATAATGAACTGATTCATGGCTTGCTTTGCTTGTGATTTGGTTGAATAAGCCACTGCGATTGGTGCAAAGCCAAAACCAAACATTGTTAGTGTCGTATGTGAACCCAGCCATTTGCTAGACAAGAGACAGAAGATTTTGTAGTCCAAACTGTACTTTTCCCTACAACTGGCTAGGGGAACCTGTGGGTGTTAATACCACAAGTCATGGAAGATAGGAGTTGTAATCCAACACAGGCTTCTTCTCTACTCCACTGCCACAACAGTTTTTTATGAAGAGAATGGTGATCTCTAGTCATGCCAAACTAGAATTGTTCCAACTAGTGCTAAGCTGCTGTCTTCTTTCCTAATTAAGTAATTTTTGCACCATTACTTCCATTTCCAAATTGTTCATTTCCTTTTTTGCTGTAGCAAGTTGCTCTTGAAGAACATAGTCGTTTTCTTTGTATATTTTTATTGCTGTATCTACAAGCTTCAGCTTTCTCTTAAATAAATTCTGCTACCTTATTTCTCAGTAGAACAATCAATAGTCAATACTTTGTCTATAAATGTCTTACCGTGACCCAAAGAAAATCGAATGATTTATAATGAAATATAGTAATGAAATTGGCCTAGAGAAAAAACTCTATATATTTAATGACAAGCGAGAATAAAGAGGTTTTTTCTATAGGGACCAAACTTATAATCACTTTTGGATGTTATGCTATGGACACTTACAGGATGGAAGTAAAGCCACATTTAAAGAAAATGTCTGATTTGGAGTGCCACTTTTTAAGGAATACGTACTGACAAACTGGAGCATGTGTAGAAGAGGAAACTAGAATATGAGGAGATTGGAAATCAAGTCCTATGCAGAAATATTGAAACAACAAAGTATGTCTAGCTTGGGGAAGCGAAGGTTAGAGATGACATGGTAGTATGTTTTAATATGTGATTAGGCTGCATTATTCTCTTGCTTCAGAGGACAGGATCAGAAAAAAAGGGGGGCTAGAATGGTACATTGTGCTGAGCTATGTTTAATTTAACCATATTTTTTAACAAGCTATAATGGCTGGTTCACAAATAGTGTCAACAAAAATGAAGATTTTTCGTTAAGCATCTCTGAAGATTTTCAGGAGTGAAAGGTAGCGCTATGTGGTTTGATTTAATTCCAAACTTGGAAGTGAGCTTGGTTGGCTTAGCAACAGAATGCAAACAAAAATAAGGTGATTGTCTTCCCCTCTCTTCCATTTTTCATGGCAGGCAGGCATGTAAATAAGAAGGTTCCTTCGATCTCATTTAATAGGACTATTTATGGATGGTCTCATAATATCACTGATCCCCTGTAGCCTGCAGTAGAAATGACAGAAGGAGATGCTGCCTGAGTAGAAGTTTCTACTAGAAGTTGAAGGGCCAAGCTGCCATTCTGATTCATATTCACGACAAGTTGGAAAGCACCGTATCCCTTCAGCAAGGCCAATGGCTGAAATGGAAATGTCAGTCCATGCTGGCTGGGGATGCTGGAAGCTATAGTGCAATTAACCCAGAAAGTATTGTCTTGGGGGAGCTTGCATCTGTGGATCATGCTCTAAAAGATAAGTATGGCAACTGAGTTTTAATTCAAGAGATTTTCAAGGTTTGACAGAGAGTGCTGGGTTCTGTGTACTTTGTGAAGGGCTGGGAAGAGTCAGACCAATTAAATTCTGTTGGGCTACTTCCACATATGTGTTTGAATGGCATAGGTACCAACCACTATTTCTAAAAGTGCCACAAAACAAGTATTGTCTGACGTTTTCCCACCCCGCTAAATGAACATCTACTATAAACACATATCATCTGCTGAACAATGTTCTACAGTAAATAATGGAGATGGTGGCAAATGATCTGGAAGAAGGACATGTGATTTAGGGATAGGACAGAGAAGCCAAGCAAGAGAATTCTGTGCCTAAAACCAAAAAAAGGATGCTTTTAATTTTTTTCAGGCAGGAATTCTGTAACGTTAAACAGCTGGACATCCAGAAATCGCACATACTGGGATCCTTGGTGTGGCAATGTAGTTACAGGAAGCTTTACCTAATTTGCCTGCATCAAAAGCCCAGCACACTCATTTTACTGACATATGAGTAAAGTGCTGCCCCTGTGCGGACAGCTGAAAACAGTACAGCTGCAAATCTAAGTTTACAGTTTGAATGCCAGAGGCAGAAGAGCAAATGGATTGGTAAGAAGGTGAGGGTTCCCTTGAGTGGAATACAACTAGTGATTATATTCTATATCGTTTTCTTGGCAGCAGTATAAAGTAATTAGCCAGTGCTTTCTCCTGGGTAGGTTTTTGTTTTGTTTTGTTTTGTTTACTTTCAATTCTGGTTTAGAGTGCTGGAATTCTTTGGTGGTCTCCCATCCAAATAATAACCAGGTCTAACCCTGCTTAGCTTTTAATATGAGCCAAAGTTGGCAAATTGGTTATCTCCTGTTTAAAAAGGGTAAAATCTGAGGCCAAGCACCTGTTCCTAGTTACTGGAAATATTTGGCATTTTTAACAGGTCCTTCCTCCCTCAAATGGAATTGCTAACATTATAACATTTAAAACTGAGTCAATATAACTTTTAAAAAACAAACTAAGATTCAGCAGCTAATTCTGAAAATGTGTGATTTTTCTGGGAGAGAGAAAAAGAATTAAATTAAAAAATGGTTTTAGATAGGAAATCTCTCTGGTATAATTTATTATGGCCTAAGGACTGGAGAACTCAAAAGAGAATCCCTTCACCCTTTTTATTCCATTCTGGGTCAAGTTAGAGGAGTCAGAGTTAGCAAGTATGCAAGCATAAAAGCCCAATCTGGCCGTGGCAGGCTTTCGTCCTTGCTGTAATCCTAATCCAGATAAAGGTGACTTGTGAACCTACTACTTGCACTGAAAGAAACTCTTGTTCAAAAGCAGGGAGAGTCCTGACTTGGGCTCAGTGCAAGGGCAAAAGTTTTAAAGCCCGTCTAATCCAGCCGCAGATATTTTATTTTAAAAAGCCTATAACACAAATGATAATTGGAGAAGGAGTGACATTGGATTAGATAGGTCCTATGTTCCTGAAAAAGCCAGGGCTGCAAAAGGGGCTCCTTTCCTTTTTGAGTTCAGTGAATGAGGTAGATGTGTGCAGGAGGAACTGGTCATTTATGCACCACCATCCAGAACACTTGAACTTTGCTTAGTTATGCTGGGAGCTAGAATGGCACTGCATTAAAAATAATCCCAAAGAGCTGACCTATAAATTTACAGTGAACAAGTCTGTATGAAGCAGATGAAATTTCCCAATGTATTTTGCATGCAAACTGAGACGGGTGTGAGTACAGGCACACAAATCCACCACTTCAAGCTGGCCACTGCCACTACAGTACTTCAAAATTCAGGCACTGGGCTGAGTTCAGAAGCACCTCCAAATTGCATGCCTGTTTGTTTATTTGTGAAGAAAATTGCTGTAAATGGGCTGGATCCTCAATGGATTTGCTTGTTTCTTTATCAAAGAAAATTCTGATCAATTTGGATTATGTTCAGAGTTTGTTGGCTGCATGTGGCTCCAATACTAATATTTAATCTTATGGTGACATTTACCAATCTTTCACTTTGGTCTCCATCCAGCTGAGCATTAAAGATCTCTTTAACTAAGAGAACACACAGACTAGCATTGGTCATCTTTCTTTCTCTCCATATCATTTATTATTCATAAAGAAAAGTACGAACTATAAAACAGTAACAGTGGCTGCTAATACAATTTAGGTCACTTGGGTCCCCCCGCCTCCATTTATCTATATAATTTATTTACTTCATTAAAACTGCAGTCTGTAAATAGCACACGGGAATCTTATTACCAAAAATAAAATTAAAAAGTCCCAACAGAGCAAAAATTAATACCATCTCACTCATTGACTATCTTATAACACAAAGTGAGGTATTTAAAAAATCTGAAAATGACAGCATGAAGCTGTAGTATCATGGCATTAAAATCTTGGAAAAGGGCTAGGGATACAACTAAAAGTTTCCAAATGGCATCAAAAGTATGTTAAGGGAGAAACCTAACAGGTCTCCCTGGAGACGAGGACATTTCATTGTTCAGAAGAGGGCTGTTTGTCTCATAGCAATTGCCTGCAGTATCTTAGATTACATATGAGGCATCTGAAGAAAGAGTTCTGCTGATTACTTCAAGATCTCCAATAAGTATTTTTGGAAAGATGCAGTCCTTCACTTAATAGCTTCCCTAATTGTGACATGCAGACCTAGTTGGTAATGTCTAGGCTTATACAACATGCTGTGCCACAGGTTATTTAACCATGTTTTGCTGAGTAAATCATATGTAGTTGGGATCACACAATATGCTAGCCAAAACCATACATATTACACTAGTGGCAAATATATGTAGCTCAGGACTGAATTGTTGAATTCTTGGTGTTTTCTGAACTTGATTTTCTTCTAACCAATGAAAACCAAGAAAATGTAAGACAATTATTCCTTTGATTAAAGGGATATAGAAACAGAACCATCTCAAGGCAGAAAAAGTGCAGCCCTAAAACACTAAAAAAATGGCCAAACTATTACAATCCTCCCAGCAGACAAAGGACAAACTGCAGTTATCACAGACAGAACATAGTATATCCAAAAAGCATGACAAGGAAACTTAAATAAACACAAACCCAATACAGAACCCAGACAACTGAATTAAGGAAACTCTCAACCTAACCAAACAGGACAAATCACAAAAGAATAATAGCACATGAAAAGCCATGAACCAGTCCTCCCACACTTCTATGGTTACTTTAAAACACACAAAGTGGACATACCACTCCATCCAATTGTATCACTACCAGACAATATAGCCAAGGAAATTACCGAGAAACTCAGATATCTCATAGATGGAAGCAAATGTTCCATCAACTCATCACTGCAGCACCTAGAGAAAATCAAAGACTAACAATTTAAGAAGATGAAATGATAATGTCATTTGATGTCACCATACTCTTCCCCCCATACATCCATAAATCCAAAAGATTTATGGCCAAAGAATCAATTGCAGCACTATTGCACAGCATACCAAACCTAGCAGAACATATAAAAACTAAAAATACCCAAACCTAGGGAACTTACAGACCTCTGCCTCACCACCCAATCTGATGAATATTCAAACAGATCAGAGGAACTCCCATGGGGTCATCCATCTCAGAATTCATAGCAGAAATAACAATTCAGTGTTCATAAATAGTATTCCCTTAAATATAATCCAAAATATGGATGCATTATGTGGATAACACTTTCATACATACATATACATACATACATACAGCTAGAGAATACACATACAACAATCAACACATTTTTCATGGAATTAAATTAAGTAATTGTGAGTTTCATTCACAAGAGAAGAAGAGAAAAGAACATCCTTCCTGGATATACTTATTAGCAGAGAAAACAATAGCAAACAAAAACCCAAGTGTATTGAAAAGTAAACCACAATAATTAAGTACTCAACTATTACAGCAACATCCAGCAGCACACAAGAA